CACCAGGAATTGATAGAATAAAAACTGAAATCTTTCAAGAAAGTGAGGCGGCAGAGGAGGCACTCGTTCATCTCTGCCAAGAAATTTGGAAGATATCTATCTGTCAACTGATTGGAAGAGATCCATATCTGTGCCCATTTCAAAGAGAGGTGACCTAACAGAATGCGGAAATCATTGGACAGTTATCTATGATATCCCATGCAAGCAAAATTTTATTAAAGGTAATACAGAAACGGCTGCAGGCATACACTGACAGAGAATTTCCAGAGGTTCAAGTTGTATTCATAAGAGACCGTGGAACCAGAGAGATCACTGCTGATGTCTGATGGATCTTGGCTGAAAGCAGAGAGTTCCAGAAAGATGTTTACCTGTGCTTTGTTTATTATGCAAAGGGTTTCAATTGTGTGGATCATGACAAGCTATGGTCAACATTGCTAACTATGCGTACTCCTGAACACTTAATTGTGCTCATGAGGAATCGGTACATGGACCAAGAGGCAGTTGTTCAAACAGAACTTGGGAACACTGAAAGGTTTAAAATTAGCAAAGGTGTGTGACAGGGCTGTATTATTTCACCATGCTTATTCAACCTGTATGCTGAGCAAATAATCTGAGAAGCTAGGTTATATGAAGAAAAACTTGGCATCAGGATTGAAGGAAGACTCATTAACAACCTGCGATATGCAGATGATACAACCCTGCTTGCTGAAAGTGACGAGGACTTAAAATACTTACTGGTGAAAATCAAATACCACAGCCTACGGTATGGACTGCATCTCAATGTAAAGAAAACAAAAATCATCACCACCGGACTAATAAACAATATTCTTATCAACAGAGAAAAGACTGAAGTTGTCAAGGGCTTCATTTTTCTTGGATCAACTATCAACACTCATGGAAGCAGCAGTCAAGAAATCAAATGACGTATTGCATTAGGCAAATCTGCTGCATGAGACCTTTTTAAAGTGTTGAAGAGCAAAGATGTCAGCTTGAGGACTCAGGTGCACCTGACCCAAGTCATGGTATTTTCAATAACCTCATATTTATGTTAAAGCTGGACAGTGAATAAGGAAAACCTAGAAGAATTGATACATTTGAGTTATGGTGTTAGAGGAGAATACTGAAAGTGCCATCGGCTGCCAAAAGAACCAACAGATCTGTGTTGGAAGAAGTGCAGCTAGAAAGTGGGACAGAGGTAAATAATGATGTATGCACAACCTTGGAACAACAGGGCTCTGGGATATAGAGATTGAGACATGGTTGGAATGGGGAAAAGGGGGGAAATAATGTTAAGATGTTTGGCTGCTTTTTGAATCTTGGTTTCCCTGGCATACCATTATAAAATAGACACTGGAGGGGGAAAGAAAGGAATAGCTAGAAATATCACCATAGAAAAGTTTTAAGTCCGTCTTCTGCCTATAACTGACTGGAAAACATAAAATGGGGCAACAACGTGCCCAGTGAAGGAGGCTTCCTGTGGAGCCGCTGCCTTACGTAAGACCATATGTGGAATCCTGAAACACATCCAGAATCTTCTGAGGTGGGAAATTTCCACTTGAAAGGACAAGCAGACCAGCCTGGAGCAGCTAGAAGAACGGAAGACATGTCTTGAAAGAAAGATTGACAGGAAAAATACAAAACAATACAGGCAGTCTGACTACTACTACACGAACAAGCAAGTTGCTCGTCCAGGAGACATCAAGGCAAGTGGTCGGGTCCTATCAGGGCAAACCGCCTTCCAAGACTAAGACTCAGTGGGAATACATGCTCTGATTGGTGACCATGTTCATCACCAATAAGGGGAAGTGAGGGAAAAACAGCAATGAAGTTGTGAGCTAAGCCCTACAATGTTCAGTAGACTCTTGAGAACCCAGGTGGAGACCTGGTCAGCCAGCAGTGTGGCAAGATCTGGGGACTCTT